GCGAGCGCCGCTGCCCCCGGGGCCGCCCCTCGTCCTCGAAGTCCTGGGGGGGGCAGGGAGGGGGCTATAGGGGAGCCTATAGGGACCCCCTAGGAACCAGGGCCCCCCCCAGCCCCCATAGGGACCCCCACAGGGATCCACCCAGTCCCTATAGACACGGAAACAACCCCCCAACCCCTATGGGGGCACAAGACCCCCCCCAACTATTACTTATGGGGAAGGGCAACCTCTCCTGATCCCTATAGAACTACAAGAGGTCCCCCCCAGATCTATAGGTACCTACCGCACCCTATGTGAGCCTTACAGCCTATAGGAATCCACCCTATACTGGTTACACGATCTATAGGGACCCACCACACCCTATAGCTGCTATAGGGTCCATAGAGAACCACCCTATAGCGACTATATGGTCCTTCCCCCCCACCCCATGGGGGCTATAGGGCCCCTCACCCCCTATGGGGGCTCTACGGCTCCTCCCCACGCACCCTATGGGGACTATAGGGACGGGTGTCCCGACACCGTGACGGGTGTGGCAACAGCGCGCCTACAGTCGCAGCCTCCAGGATGGGTGTCCCGGGTCCCTGGGCCGGGTGTCACMGCTCCCTAACGCCCCCAGGACGGGTGTCGCAACACCGTGACACGCGTCCCAACCCGGTGACAGGCGTCCCAACACCGTGTCAAGTGTCCCAACAGCGTGACAAGCATCCCAACAGCTACAACCAGGCCCATCCACCCCCCCGGGGAAGGCGCCACAACCCCCAGGCCGGCTGTTGCCCGCCGCCCCGCCGCCTGTACCTCCATGCGGTCGAGCGTGGTGCGGCTGCCGCGCAGGAGGCTGTTGCTGTAGCCGCGGCAGCTGCTCTGCTCCGAGAGGGGCCCGTAGCGCTGCGCCAGCAGCTGCCCCCGCACGCGCAGGTACCACCGGCGCGCGTCCGCCTGTAGGCGCCCGCCGGCGGCGTGCTCGCGCAGCAGCTGGCTGCGGCGCCGCATGTACTGCGTGCGGAACTGCGGCCAGCCCGGCGCGCGGGACGCCGCGTACCTGCGCGCGGCGTCAGGCG